TAACACCCCCACACACACACACACACACACACACACACACACACACACACACACACACACACACACACACACACACACCGAGAACACCCTCGCAAATTGGCATTGACCTGTTCTCCAATTGCCAGTGCGGTGCCACAAAGATAAATATTGTCAATCGGCTCATGTCGTGACAAAGGTGTCAAACAAAGTCACGATGTGTCTGCCTTGCTCATTCACGGCATTTAGTTGAGCTACTCTAAAAAGATCAAGGTGAAGAGATGGAAATTCCGCAGCCACTGCCAGCCTAAAGGGAAACGACAGAACAAGTTTCAGCTTTGATCCTCTCACAAAAGCCTTTCATGCCTTGTTTATTTACCGTATGTACTTGTGTACTGTTTACTAGGGATCAACAGAAGTATTCTTCGGCTTTTTTGCCAAAACTTATCGATCTTTGTGATGCTCCGTGTTAACAATGTAGCTGCTTTCAAAACATTCAAGAACAAGAAATTACAACTAAACACTTTAGTTCGAAACTTGTCAGAATTATATTGATGAAGAAATTAACTTGCGGATTTAGGAGTCCTGCATGGCAGAATGAAGCCAAGTAAGACGCTGATGCTGTACGGGAGTCTTACATGGGACTTTGGCATACATAACATCGAAGGTAGTGACGGCAACATGAAGCGAGGTTGGCACATTGTGACAAGTGACAGTTGCGCATACATCTGTTTGCTTCACAAAGATAATTTCTCCAACTTTAAAACTGTATCGTGTACAATTGAGTTCACAGAGCTATGCTCACGAAAATATGAGTCAGGAGGGAAAAAAATGTTCATGGTCACTTTGCTTCCTATTGTACTCTTTTTGTACCGTACTCCGATGATCCTGACGACCGTCTTATCGGCTCTGCGCAACATGGAGCAGTGTTTCCAAGCAAAAATAGACACAAAGACAGCAAAAAGACCACCAAGCACACTGTGATGAGACAGGCCATTATAGCTGCTGAAGAGGCATGGGGATCGAACCTGTCAATGCCTCCGACAAGATGAAAATTGATTCTCAAATTTAAACGATGATACTTTTCATACTTCAGGTTCATTTGGGTTACTGCTAGTATAGTGCCAGAAAGGGTAGCGGTAGTATCGACTGGCAGACACACACAAGTACAAAAGAAAGTTCATACGATTACATATTGACAGATGGCGCCAAAATGTATACGATATGTGGCAGCCAAAATTCATTTGTGGCGGCGTTCCACGGATAAATATATAGGTGGAGAAATACTACAAATGTAATATTACACAAAAACAATTGATCGAATCAAGCAAAATAAGATGGTACAGCTGATCACAAAATGTGCATAAAATTCAAATTATCGGATGATGCGCCAGAGATAGGTGTAAATTGTAGTTTCAAACTACACTCAGTCGATGGAAGAAGCAAGTGAAGCCGGTCGATTTTTACTCACCTTGACGGTGGCTTTGGTGTTTTTGCTACTGCTGCTGCTGCTACTGTTGTTGTTGTTTGGGTTTTTGGCATCTTCGTGAACTCTGTCCAAAAGCCAGAGGAGAAACTCCAGGGCGTCGTGTTGCGAGTTGCCCCGAAACTGAGAGCCATATTTGGCTACAATGCTCTGGAAAAAAAGGACATAATGGCCAGTTCGATAAATGTTGGTTTATTTGCTGTTTCATAACAGAGTAGAGACCAACACAGGGCTGTAAAAAAGTCTTTTGGAATCAGTGTGGTCATCTACACCATAAATTCTTGTTACGAATTTGGGAAGATTGAGCCAACTTCACTGAGTAAGCCAAAAGGGGATATTTTTATTATTATTATTTTTTTTAATTACCAGAATTTAACATTGATCTGAACCATCTACAGCTAGGGTGTCAAACTCATTTTTGTCGCGGGCCACATTGTAGTTACGGTTTCCCTTGGGGGGGCCGTTATGAATTTTGGGAAACCATATCCTATACATGTTTAATCCCCTCGACGTATTACATCCACAGCGCACAACAAATTGATGAATAACTAGTTTTAAAATCAGAAGTAAAAAATAATGACTGTTATTGTGGATTACATATGACAATTTTAAATTTTGATTCAGACTTTAGCAAGCATCATGGAACTTGACATGTGTGATTTGTTTTTGCGGGCCACCTAAAATGATGTGCCGAGCCAGATCTGGCCCCCGGGCCTTGACTTTGATATCTGTGATCTACAGGGTCACGTCGCGTTCGATATAAAGTAATACCACCCCAGCCTATGATTGTCGACAACATGCTGGTTCCATAATTAGGGGCATGACATGTCAAAGAAAAGTGGAGGAACATTCCGTCCTTTGATTTCATCACCAAGCAATTTACACTGAAAGCGACGTGTAACTGCTTTAACATTTGCAACTAATGACAACACTGCTGTCTACCAGGTACAAAGTCACGCTTGCATTCTCTTTGAAGACAGTTTTTTTATGATCAAGCCAGCAGCGATATGACTCTTGTGCTTTAACTTCACAGTTTGTGTGGTCACCGGTCGGACAAACTAAAGCACCAAACTAAACGAGTTTTCGTGTGTTGCAGTGTGCGGCGCTTGTGTTTAGTCGCAGCTGCTGCCAGGCTAAGTGAGACCATCTGCTGTGCCTGTGATAGAACACCATGTGAGTTTTATTTGCCGTATTGAAAACCGGCGAAACAGATGGAAGATGGAATGGTCTTTCGTCAAATTAATACAAACCCAAGGGGAACACACTTCGATGAGGGCACGATTACCGGTGTGCGGGGAGAGGCGGGGACTTCTGTTTAGTGCCCTCATTATTTTTCCTCACTTGTAATTTGGTCCGTGGTTCATTTGGAGTTCACAACTGCCATCTTTAACATGCATAATGAACACCAACGAAGACATATTTAATGGCAGGATGTGTCGGGTCTGATGTTTCTTTTTTTTTCCACTCGTTACAACGGAAACACAATAAAATGGGTGTGCTTTTACGCAACGACATGGCAATGCAGAGATGATTACATGGGTGACAACTGCAACTCCAACAAAATAAGAATCGGATCTCAACAAGGCCGGGGAGGTGAGGGCTGAGTGTCAAACTTCACACACCAGTCAACTTGTCATCCGAGTCCGATATTACCTTTGTAGGCGTCACGTCATACCATGTCAGTGCGGTTTATATTCAGTAGAACATCACTCCGACACAGAATGGGGGATTGAAGCCGACCAACGAATTTGCTGGCTTCCGGGGTGGTGTTAGAGGCAAAGAAATGGGATAGCGGGAAGCCAGATATCACCATAACGTGCCCTTGAGACCTATTTCACCCCCCAAAATATGTTGTGATTTTCCACTAAACTCAATACTGTATTCATTCAACTTTATGAAGAAGGTGTAAGAAATCTTGGTCAATTGCGTTTTAGGAAATTATGGCCATTTAATAAGCACATTGTGGCCCATCACCTAGCAACAAGATTCAGCTAGCAGGCTGACTCATTGCTGTTCAACAAACATTTTTCTAATTTCTAAAATACTTTTTTTTTTATATCAATTGATATTTCACTCTGACAAACTGAACATGTTAATCTTGACAACATCCAATGGCACACATAGTATGATGTAAATTATTAAATGTAAAGACAACTTCCAAACACCCCTGATGTTTGATTTGCACAACCTTTGCTTCCTCTGCCCTCCCAAATTGCCAGCACCATCACTCTCGTCTTTAAACAATACACATCAGAGCTCAAACAGGACTGGAATTAGGCGGTCACATCCATCACATACCAAGTGAGCTCTCTCCTCATCACTGTGCATCCCGCCTAACAGGATTGGATTGATTCCAGTGTGACAGGCAGTGAAACATGAGGACCATTTTCAGACACATTATTTTTTAACTAAGCTTCACTCGTACAGGTGTGTCTGGAGGCAGCAATCACTCACTCACACAACTTGACCTTGCAAAATCCTTTTTTTTTCCTTCCCATTTCATTATAAATGAACAATTGCCCGTGTGAACTGAGCTGATTACGGTAGGTGGAGTGGAATTTGGACTTGGCAGAAAATTATCCTTTTTAAAAAATATATTTTTGGGTTGAATAGAAGAATTTTTCAACAGATGTGCTCAACTTCTGTTTCAATGCAGATAAACAGAATAATGCTTCCCCAAGAAGGTGCCGGAGAGCTCAAAATTCCTTCGGTAATGCCTAATTGTTATCTTTTGCCAGTAAGGTAGTTGAGCGCTCCTGCTGATAACAGTTCACTTCATTTTGCCTCAGTTGCTATCAACAATCTGGCAACATTTTTAACTATCTATTTAATCATGAATCATCAAATCCATGATGGCACCCACTGGTAATTATACGTAGCCAACAATTAGGTGATTGTGAAAGCATAACATACCGTACCCATCCATCCAGTCCATGCGTCCATTCGTACATCCATTTTCAATAGCGCTTATTAGCATTGAAGGTGAGCTGGAGCGGGTTAGCTAGTCACCAGTCACTCGCAGGGTAATACAGTGGACCATTGATATTTGCGCAACATCGTAGCTGCGGGCCAGCTACGAACAATGAATAGCTGCGTATAATTGATGCCCGTTGAAATATATCGTGGGGGTGCGGGGGATAGATCCCTCAAAAGATCTGTTTTTCCACGAAAAATGTCTGTGACTGGAGGAGTTGGGGGGGGGGGGGGGAAAAAAAAAAAAAACAAAACCCCAAAACATTTTAAAAACTGAAATAAAATTTTTTAAATTGGTCCCGAAAGGAAGTATACACTGTATACTTCCTTTCGGGAAGTATACATAGTGTACTTCCTATGTGTCCATTGAATCGACACATTCACAACTATGGGTAATTTAGACTTTAATTAACCTAACCTGTCTATTTTCGACACATCTCTTGTATTAAATCTCATCACATTAAATGTGCCTCCGGCATTAGTCTGATGCAACATGGAGTATACTAATTGTTGTTTACTTAAAAAGATAAGTAATTACCGGTATACTGCAAAAAATTCTCACAGCACCATCTGTTCCATTCAGAAAAAAAAAAGACGCATCACAGTCCAGGTGGCGCATATCCACCACGAAGATTAGTGTGTGCAAACATTGTAAACATCCTCAGTCGTGAGAGGTCTTTGAAGGAAAGGGGAGGCAGGATGAGACAAACAATCCATCAGTGTTGGCCTGCGTCACTCTCACACACCTCCTATACACCCCCCCCACCCTCACCCCCTAAACAAAGGAGACCACGTCAAACACCTCTCTCCATCTCCTCGCCTGAGCTCCTCGAGCCTCACGGAGCCGCGGCTCTTCAAGCGTGAAAAAGATGAATCTGCGCCCCTCTTGCCGAAGCAACCCGCACATGAAGTGCCTGTGTTGTTAAAAACCCTTTGGGCCCGCCGGTGTTAAGCCGTGAGCTGTGTTTTCAAGTCCTATTAATGTGCGCCAACACTTAAGCAATAAAACGACACGTCATCCCTCCAGATGCAATCAGCATCAAACATGCAGTGAATGGACATCAAAACTGAACATTTCGGATCTTGAGGTAAATCCTCATGTCTGTTTTAACTCTCAGGCTTGAATCAAGTGCAACTGGACTGCTCTTGTCTTTGAAGACGTTTCGCCTCTCACCGCAGTAGGCTTCTTCAGTTCACGCGAGAAAGGACGATCATAAGTTGGTGTGGCAACCCAATGATTTTTTTTTTTTCAGCTGAATGAAATATTAATGAAGAAGTTTACCCAGCGACATATTGACAGACAAAATCCTCTTTATAAGGCATCTTAACAATTGTCATTTCGCATTCCAAAAGAATGTCACCGTTGATAGTTGGCACGTGCCTCCAACGTAGGGCACAAATATTTGGTTTTGCCACACCAAATGAGGCTGGTGCAGTCCTTACCATGTCTAACTAGTTAAGGCATACATCTACGACAAACATAACAGTCCAGTTGCAATCAATTGAATGCCCTGAAAATGAAATGACCAAGATGAATGCCAATATCCACAAATACGCTGCGATTTTGACACGTAGTAAGTCAGTGTTGTTTCAATGAATTTTACTAAATGACACTCCTAGCCAGCCGGAGGCCTGATTCATGTAACTGGCTAAAAACCTGAATGATACTCTATAAATAAAAAAATGCAGCATTCCAGGAAGATTCTGGATGAATTCTACATTGTCATTCAACAGTGCAACAACCACAGGAAAAGCCAACCGGTCAAAAATAAACAATAGTTCAAGAGCTTGTTGCAGTACTCAATTTTGACAATGAGGTAGATGGTGCGGTTGTGGCAAATCAGGATCCATCCATCCATTTTCTCCCGCTTATCCAAGATTGGGGCGCAGGGGCAGCTGCTTTGTGCAGGGAAGACTTCCCTCTCCCCAGCCATTTCTTGCAACTCACCTCGGGAGATCCCAAGGGGTTCCCAAGTCAGCCGGGAGACAAAGTCTCTCCAGCGAGTCCTGGGTCATCCCCTGGAGATTCTGCCGGATAAATTCAGCATTCGTCAGCAGAGAGGCGTCCAGGAGGCAATCTAACCAGATAGCCACTTGATCTGGCTCCTCTCAATGTGGAGGAGCAGCGGCTTGACTCTGAGTGTGGAGGAAACCCTCACGGGAAACGATTCCGACTT